ATATTATTATGTAGTAATAAATGACATTTTTATTATTCAACTTTTTAATTAATTTATACTATTTTATATTAATATATTTATATTATTGTATTCAGAATTAATTGTAGGAGTTAAAATACAATACTGTATATGGAAATGAAATATATTATAACATAAAATTTAATTTGAAAAAATATTGTAAAATGCATAGCTTATCGGCGTGATTTTGTAATTTCTTCAAGTTTTCAAATTTACCACAAAAGCCAAATTATATTTAATGTAACTTCAAGAAATTTGATTAAACTAAACAGATTATAAAAACATTGAATCTATAACTGTACGTGAAAATACATTAGTTTATATTTATATAAAATAATAACCCTGTTTATGCATTAAATATGTCAATATTCCAGATGTTTATTAAAAAAAAAAAAAAAAAAAAAAAAAAAAAAAAAAAAACACCTATTTTTTTTTTTTTTTTTTTGTATTTGGTAATAAATTAAATGAAAGGCTTAAAAAAAATTCGCGACGTTTTTAAATCTCCAATATCTGTCTCCTTTATCAATTCGTTTAATGTTTCCACTAGATTGCTAAGATCAAATTTACGGAAAAAGCAAAAGAAAAATTAAGAAAGATCGAGAGAGAGAAAAATTAATAGAGCTTGTGAGGGAGAAAAATCGGAGAAAAGACGAAAAAGAACACAGAACATTCCTTTATAATTGGAATTTGGCACTGTTGGAGTAACGCCCCAGTAGCTTCCATTCAAAAAGCTTTAAGAGGATATGGGCGCAGCGATCCTTGGGAATCCAATTCCTTCGTTAAGAAGGCCACTTATAGATTGCCACATTACGGTTGGATGAGTGTATGCGCCTTATGTACGTGTGCGCGCGAACGTGTACACACATACATGTGTATAGCTATCCATACATTTATACCATCACACACACACACACACACACACACACACACGTGTATGTATATGTATAGAATCGTACAAGTAAGTGGTAGGAAACTGACTTGGTGATGATTAGGAGAAAGATCATGCTGACGTGATCGGGAAATTGAATGTCTGGCGGTGTTTTCAACGTGTCAAAAGTGATTGGATGTGAAGACATGACAGTAGCAAGAGATCTTAATTGAAATATTAACTCAATCTTTTACAGTTGTAAGCATGTGAATTATCACCGTATCGTACATAATATTAAATTGATATTACTTTTGATTTTTTTTTTTTTTATCTACATTCAGAGCAGGTAATAAATAGTCATAAGTATGATGAAATGGAAAAATAAGTTTGTATTATACATTACACACTGTGCAAAAATAAAATGTTAGTATTATTTTCATTTAGAGATAAAAACAATTCTTTATCTTAATTATTTATAATAATTTTTATTCCAAACGTATGTTATTTCTAACTCACTACAAATGCATGATATTTTTGTTATAATATGTGTTATAATAGCCAAATGTTATAATAGACATTCACAAACTATAAATGATTTATAAATATTAATATTCGAATATATTTAAAATTATAAAAAACTTGAAAGCTATAAGAATTACGAGTGTATAAATTATATGAAATTTCACGAAATATTAGCTCACTTTCCTTATTATATTCATTAGAATGTATTTTGTTCTTTTTAAACAAAAACTAAAATTACATTATTCTTCTCGATAGATATAATGAATCCAGTATGTAGAATAAGGAGACATTTACCGAATAATAAATATATATGTTTTTAACAAAATATATTTTTCATTTGATTTGTCGTACATTCAATGATAAAATTAAAAACATATTTTTCTAACAAAATATATCATTCATTTAATTTATGACACAACAATTTAAATCATCATTTACCAATAATTTAATTTTTCAACGTAAAACTATACCATACTCTTGGAATCCGACTTTCTTTGAGTATAAAATTGATTAAAAATTTTACTACGCAACTCCAGAAAAGTGACAGCTTAAAATAAGTTAATTTTACAATCGATGATAAAAATCAGCACTGAATCAGCACATCTTTTTACGAAGAACGGATTACACAGTGGAATTTGAATCTTCCAACTGCAGCTGTTTCTTTGTCCGAAAAAGGTCGATTTACATCATTGTGAACTTGTTTGGGGCAGATACGAAGAAAAAAAAAGAAGAAGAAGAAGAAAAAAAAAAGGAGCATTTATTGGCTTATCCGTGTTAGTATTTTTCCTTTTCTTTTACACATTTATCGCTCTCTTGCTCCCAAAGTGCCCATTTTTAAACTCAAGAAATATAGATCGAAATGGACGAATCTTGAACTGCACGAACTTGCTTGTAAAATGATAAATATATGAGAAAAATACGAAATTAAAGGTGCATTGAAATCGAATATCTTACCGGAATATGCGCAACTACTATTACGAATAAATTTCGGTACTTTTTATGCAGTTACGAATAGTAATGTTACGTCTTGATTTGAAACTTTTCTCTGTAACTTATTCAAAGATATGTATCATTAAGTTTCGCAAATTACAGACTCGAATACTACTGAACTTCATAATTCATTTTTTAATCTAAAATATGATTAAATGTTTCACACATTTTATTGGATTATCCAATTATCTTACCTATATAATTAGGAATTACAAATTAGACCCTCTATATAAGATTTTTTACATTTGTTGTTGTTTTTCTTTTATTGATTATAATAAAAAATTACATTTGATAGTCAATGAGCATCTTGACAATTATAAACATAGAAAATCATTGAGTGTAATATAATTTTAATTTACGCATATATATATTGTTTTAATTGTACTGTATCATTTCATTTATAATGTATTTTTTTATGCAATATATATATATATATATATATATATATATATTTATTTATTTATTTATTTATTATAATATACACTATTAATTAAAAAAAAAAAAAAAAAAAAAAAAAAAAAAAAAAAGACAAAAATGAAATATCTGCTAAAAATTTATTTAAATTTATTGTTTACATAAATGACTAAAAATATCTATTTTTAAGATTATAAGATTAAAACAACTTTAATGTTGATCGATATGTCAATAATTTTTTTTTAAGTTGAGCCAATTCAACGAATAAAACAGTACGTAATAGGATGAAGCGTATTTTTAAAGTCTCATTTTAAATAATTCGTAATCCACAAACGTAATATGCTTTTTAAATTCTCTATTTTATTTGAATTATTAAGAATATATTGATGTATATATAAATAAATTAAGATAATATTTGAAAAATTTTTTTTATTTTTTAAGGAATAAAAGTTTTTTTAATCAATAAACGTATAGTGATAACATTGTGAGCTTAGAGAGTACATACTCGTAGTTCAAAAAAAATTGTTCTACAGTAGAATTTAAAAATAAAAAATATATAGATACCCCATTTTTCAAAAGAAAATATATAATTTTTCATAACAATCAATATTTTTTGGAAACTAATTATCTTTTAATTTTAAAACTTTCTAATATTCATCAAAAAATTGAGACTGAAAAAAATAACCTTGCAAGAATTAAGTTTTAAAAAAGTATTTAATATACGAATTGTATAGATTAAAAAAGAATATTCATTTATAACTTTGACCTTAATCTGAGTATCCAAGTTAAGAATAATTTTAAAATTGATTTAAAATTGTCAAATAGAATGCTTATACGTTTATATTACAATAAATCAACATCAATACTATCCGAATGTGTTATTAGAATTATTATTATAAAAATATACTTTTATTTCATTTTATTTCATTTGATTTGCAATTTTATTGCTTTAGATTTTTATTTTTTTTTTTTTTTTGCTTTTAATTAAGGAATTCGTACTTTTTTTATATTTTTTTATGTTGGTTCAGATATTTTGCTATACGATCATACACTGAATCGTAATAAAAAAAAGTCAGATCTATTATCTTATGTAAAACATGAGATCGTAATAAAAAAAAAAAAAAAAAAAAAAAAAAAAAATTGCATATAATTAAAAAGGCAAATACATATATCCAGAGTTTAGACTTTGAATCAATACTTAAAGGTAAAAAGGTAAATGTAACCTTTTAAACGTTCAAATAATAAGGAAATATGCCTACCGTGAAGTGAAAAGGTATGTTTGTGTATTTCTATGTTTACGCTCGACACACCGACTGTTGAATATCTGTAATAATAAAAAGAAAAAGAACGAAATAAGAAATGTAAAATGTGAATTCTATACTTACGGATGAATAAATACACAATAAATCCTCACTTTTTATTCAAAATGCTCATGAATATATGCTTGTGATAAATATGAAACTGCATTTCTTTAATTTTCAATCCTTATAAAGCATCTCTAAGACGACATAAAATCGATGCGTTAAATAAATTAATTTTTTTTTTATATTCTTCAAGGCTTTTTTTTAAAGCACTGCTGTGTTCCGATCCGTCGACTACACTATTTCCTTTACATGATTATATATTATCCTTTATCCTTTGTAACCCAAAGGCTGCCGACTACAGACAGGGCTATCCGCATTATGAAATAGAAATACCTTTATTTTCTTAGTGAAAAGCTATTTTCAATTTGCATTATTATGAAATGTCTAGCAGTTTCAACTAATCATATAAATTTCTAAATTATATATCTACTTTAACTAGCAAAAAAAGTCTAAGATTTTTACTATTATAGATATAAGAGAGGCATTTTATAGGAAATGTCATATCATTAGGAATAAAAATGCTATTTCATCCATGAAAATAATAGAAATTATTTTTAATTTTTTCTAATGCTTCAAATTTTTAAAGCATTCTCAGGACTCTCTTTTAAGACTTTGTGTTTTCATATTTGATTCGCGTAGAATACCAAATACTATAATAGTTCAATATTCATATGTGATTAGTTTTTTATACTAATTTCATACATTTGAACTTTCAATTTGCATTGTGCATTAAACAATTCATCATCCATAAACATTAAATAACCTGAAAATGTGCAGATAATACAACAATGTAAATCTTTCAATATTTTAATTATAATTTTCAGTATACCGATTGGGAGAATACGAACGATGAGTTTATGTATCAAAGAATGATAGCTGATATTGTCGGAGATTATTTCTTCATCTGTCCATCTATAAAATTTGCCCAACTATTCTCGGATCGTGGCATGAAGGTTTACTATTATTTCTTCACGCAGGTTAGTGAAATCCCTCGTGCACGATTTTGTGCAGAACTTTAATATTCAATATTATAGTACACGAGTGTATTATGCCCCTGCATCAATTTTTAATAAATAAGAAATTTTAGTAATGCAGGTATGTAAAACAATATAATTCACAATTTTTATTTTACAAAATATACAAATTGGAAAATTTACCAGGAGCTTCAATAAGAAATGTACAGCATAGACAAATAAAGGAAATACAAGTTTAGGATAATTATATACCAATTATAAAAAATACAGATTATAATAATACAATAATAACATAAAAATATATATTATTAGTTTGTGATTATATGCATTGAACATCATAAGTATTAATTATTTCTCTCGTGTAGTTTTTGTTTTCATGGCTGTAAAACGTTAGCGTAAATACATCTATTATTCCCATATGTGAGTATTTTACCAATTAAGTAACAAAATATAATATTATGAATAATTGTGTTAGTTAACCACGATAGCTGTTTGATTAATCTTGTACTTTTTTTTTTAATCTCACATTTTAGGAACTTTTTATGATGAAATTCGTATAAAATAATTTCATTTTAACTGTTGCTACTATCGATATTATGACGTTAAATTCATCGATTAAGAGTATAAATTTCTTCAAAGCACACGAATAGTTGTTTGTGAATCATGCTATCCGAAAACAATAATATCAACTGTAAATCCATTGGCTTCGATATAATTCGTGAAAGTTATATTTCTATTTAATATAATCGATTATATATGAATTTTTAAAGCAATGATAAAAATTAATTCTCGCTATGTAGAACAAAATATTTCGAAATTTTTATTATTATTCCTATCACATATTTTCATTACTAAAGCAATTATTAATAATATTCGTAGATAATTAAACGATTAAATTTAGGCAATGCAATATGTCATGGATAATTAAATAATGTATTATATTTTATAATATACGTTATTTTAATTTGTAAAAGCTCTTTCAAAAAATCTTGTCTTTATATTTGGATTATCGAGTACATAAAAGTTGTAATGTTGTAATGTCATGGTAAAATTATTTCTTTAAATTTCTACTTTTGCCTTTTTGCCCTTCAAATTCATTTGTATATATTAATTACTGAAATTTTATAGATAAAAGAGAAACATTTTATCGATAATAAATTTATTAAATAAAGTAATATTATATAAATTTAATTTTCCTATAGTTTTATAAATATTAAAATGGAATATTTTTATAAAGAAATTTCAAAAACAGTGTATGATGAATCTTCCTCGAGACAGCGAAGGTGAGAAAGAGACAAATTAATAAATAATTTTTAATTTATGTTAAAATAATTGTGTTCCAACTACAGCATCCATCAGTCCATCAGTGTAAGTAATATTACTGAATAAAATATAATATGTAATCTTATTATATAGTAAAATATAATAAAATGATCGTGAGAATAATTAATAACCATGAATTTTACATAACCATTATGAAATTATGTAAAAATTTTCATTTTCATAAAGAATATACATTATCTAAATTATTATAAGAGCGCAATAAACATATATTTAATGTTCGATAAATTCGATAAATTTTCAATAATGAGAATTTTTTGTATTTACTCACATTAGTTCTATCATTATATTTAGTACTTAATTTTTGTTCCGTTTGCAATTAACGATTATGAGAATGCTTTTTAAATTTCTAAAATCAAGGATTTCTATAAGCAATGTTCTTTAACTTTCTGCGCATAAAACATGTATTATCATATAATTAACAGACAAATTAATTCATGGAGAAAGGTCTATAGAATTTATATTTTAATGTAATCAAATGAAGGATCTTGTGCACTGATTACATACATTTTTTTGTCCTTTCAATGTTGAAAATCTTTCCATCAAATTTTTTACATTTTTCAATGAAATAGATAAATAGATTTTATTTATTGCAAAGCAAACGCTATTAAAATTTCCACTCACAATTAATATGTATTTCGTATTTATTGTTTTTTTATTATTTTTTTTCTGTGTTGACATTATTAAATAATCTAAATTTTTTGTTGAGATACCTTATGAAATATTATTTTGTAAAGGACCAACTCTGAATAGTTAATAGTTAGTGCATCGTTCGATATGCATATTCAAAGACTATTTGTATGTGTGCAATTTACCTCGAAATCATAAGACCTGACCTGCGCAACCCAGTCTCGATCTACATGGATGAACTAGACTCGTATATAACAACAGCTATGTCGAGTTTCCTAACTATTATAGCTTTTGCGATTAAAATCTAAAGCGGATATCTTTTGATCATTTATTATGATTGCACTTTGGCAGATTAATCGCGGCAATTTGTAGTGAAAGGATGGAAAGAATTGATGAAATGAAAATATTTCTTGGGCGTTATTTATGATTGATAATAATGAAATGCTTCTTCTTCTTCTTCTTCTTCTTCTTCTTCTTCTTCTAAGTAGAAGAAGAAGAAGAAATATCGCATATCTTTAATGAAAGAATAATAAAAGATATAATCAATGTGCTGCAGAATGTGATTATTAATAATAATGTTATATGTATTCATACAATTTGATGTCTTGTACGAATGCAACGACTACATATATCTTGAGAATATATGAAAAAAAAAATAATATTAAGGAGATTGAACTAAGAAAAACTAATGCAGATTCTGTGTAAAAATCTGTGTAGGAGCATATATTGTATAAGCATATATATATATATATATATATATATATATATATGATATATAAAGAAAATATATTTTCGAAATTCAAAAGTGAGTATACATTAGAAGGACTTAGAGAATCTATTTTGTTATCGGTCACGTTTCAAGATTTCTCACAGGATAAGAAAAAAAAAAACAATGACTATATTCAATTACGTAATCATCTTATATTCAATCAGTTTTATCGTGATTTTTCAAGATAGAAAAAAAAAACTTTCAATTTTTTTCAATAATAATGACCATATAAGAGATTGCCAATTCTTATGTATTCCTATCAATTTAAATGCTATTTAATCTATTTAATTTCTTCATTTTGATATTTTAAAAATTATGCCTCGCATAAAAAAGCTCATTTATAAACAATCTAAGTATAAATAATGTAAGCATAGATAATGTAATATGTTATGTAAATTAATTCAACATTAATACTCGGATATTAAATTAAAATAAATGCAATAGAGTGTTGATTGCAAAGTTTTGAGCATAGATAAATTAAAAATCTTACGATCTTCGATCTTCGTTTAACGTATTCAATTATAAAGTTTTTCAGCTTTACTATAAACTTGCATATAACCAAAGCATTTACATAGTTTGTTATAATTAAAGTTTAATAATGATTTTTCAAATCACTTTAATATAAATTCGCCTATAATTTCTTATTCATATAAAAACTTTAAAAGATTATTAAATGTAATTTGTAATTAAAAGTCTACGTAATTATTATTTCTTTAAATAAATTCTAGAATAAATTACATTTTTAACTAACAGTATATTCATATGTGACACAAATTCTAATAGAAACTATAATAAATGTAAAGACTAGAAGAATCGAGATAATCAAAAATAAAAAAAAATAAAAAAATTTTTAAAAAATGAAAACCTACAAAATATATATAGACGTATAATGCCGAAAATAAATAAAAATTGAGAGCTTTCGAGGATTTAACTAAATATAAACATAAACGGAGATAAGGATAAATGCAAAAGGCGACTGAGATAGAGATGTAGAGAGAGTGAGAGAGAGTGAGAGAGAGTGAGAGAGAGAGAGAGAGAGAGAGAGAGATTGACAAATAGATAGTAAGAAAAGAGAGGATTAAATATGACGATAAAAAGAGAAATTGTGACAGATAGTTAAATAGATTGAGGAACAAGGAGGTAAAAAGCAAGGTTGCGATTTTGCGGGTCACGAATTATAATTCTAGCTAGCCTTGGCGATTCATAAATCTTAAACAATCATTGATTGGTCATTGTGCACCAGAAAGAAACTTTGATTCGAATATTTATAAATTATCTCATTGTCTAAGTCTTTGTATTGAGCTATAATTATCTGATTTTCATAGACTAATCTACTCTGGAGAAATAATCGTTAGCGATTATGTTACCCTTGAAAAACAATTTATCATAGCCAATATTTTAATTGTTACTTGAATGGTAATTATAGCTGCTTCATAAACTTTAGTTTATAAAAGTAGAGAATTCCTTTAGTTTTTTATCCTTTACACTATCGGTTTAATTTACGTATGAATTATATTTATATGACCCGTTTATAAATAAAATTTAATTTTATAAGGAACGTTATCTTACTCTTTATTATTGATAAATATATTTTCGATTAATCATAATAACTATGCATTATTTCTTTCGGCATTTATAGTATTAATTGCAGTTTGTGTTTTTTTAATTAAAAATATGGAAAATTTAATGTTCTGATTATGAATAATATTTCATCGGGTATATTCACTTTTCTCTAATTAGTTTGAACAAACTCTGGAATTATTTTGACAAATATTAATTGTAATTCATAAAATTTAGTAGAAAATTATTGCTTTTATAAAATTATAAAATTATAAGAGCATGTATAAAGTACAATGACATGTGATAAATATTTTAATTGTTGAATAATAAAAAATCTTCTCAACATCTTTTAAGTGATATATTTAATTCTCTTAATAATTATTATAATGACAGAATATTTTATTTATAAATATTGTTTAACATAGTTTTAATGGATATTACATTTACGATTTATTCAATTATTTTTCCATTCCTTACTAATTTATGTAGATTCCTAATTGATATTTATATATATGATAACTTATCAATAAAAATTAAATCGATCGCTAAACTCTACAGAACTTTCGTATTTTTCAATAACATTCTTTATTGTGAATATAGTCAAGTGAACTTATTAAAGTTTTTAACTTATGATTATATTTTGATCTAGATTATAAATATAAGGAAAGAAAAAATTTTCTATAATATGTATAATCTAATATCT